CAAGATGGCCCAGTAGTACCCTGCAGGGTGCCTCTCCCTTCCAAAGTGTCCACTTCTCCACTCAGTTTGTTAAAATCTGCAGGCTTCATACAGTTGATCCCATAATCCAGATCACTCATGAAAATATTAAACAATATCGATCCCTGGGGTCCCTGCTTGTGACAGCTTGCCAGATGGAAAAGGATCTATTTACCACCACCCTTGGGGTGTGGCCTGTCAGCCGGTTCCCCCCTGCTTGAACCAATTTGCTAGGTTGTAACACAGCAGTTTCTCTAGTAGGAGTCTGTGGGGAACTGTATTGAAAACCTTGGGAAATCCAGATAGACAACATCCACCACTTACTGCACATAAACCAAGCAGGTTACTTTGCTGTGGAAGGTGATTGGTTTTGTGGAAACCAGTTTGCCTCTGGTGAATCCATGCTCACTTTTCCCAATCATTTGTCTTGTGAAAGCCTCCAGGAGGATTTATTCAGTAGCTTCCACAGGATCGGAGGTAAGACTGATGGACCTGTGATTTCCTGGATCTTCCTTTAAGCCCTCTGTGGGAAACTGTTATGTGGAGGTGACATTAGCCTTCTTCCAGACTTCTGTTATGTCCCACAGTCTCCATGACTTCTCAAAGGTTATGGAGAGCAGTCTCACAATGATGTCGACCAGCTCTCTGAAGACCCTCAGGTAGATATTGTCAGGGCCCATTGATTTGTAAGGGTCAAGCTCCCCTGATAGTTCGCATGCCAACTCTTCCTTCACTGGTGATGTGCTGGTGTTTGCATCAACCTGCATTTTTATTCCCAAGGCCTGGGGCCCAACAGTGCATGTAAAGGCAGAGGTGAAGAAAGTGTTGGGAAACTCTGCTTTTCAGTGTAGTTGGTGACTGATTGACCTCTCCTGTTTAACAGAGGGCAGGTATTTTCCTTCAGTTTTTGCTTGTTGTTTACATATCTGCGGAAACCTTTCTTGTAGTTTTTTTATATCTCTGGCAAATTTATTTTCGAGCTGAGCTTTTGCTTTTCTAGCTTTTTCTTTGCATGCCTGGCAATGCCCTTTTAGTTCTCAATGGGGATTTGTCCACTTTTCCATCTCTGGTACACCTCTCTTTTGTTTTTGAGTGGACTCAAGCTTACCATCAAGCCAAAGGAGTATCTTGCTCTGCCTGCTTCCCTTACCTTTGAAGGGGATGGAACTCTTTTTGTGCTTCCACTAGAGTGCTCTTGAACAACTCTCAGCACTCACTGGCTCCTTTATCCTCCATGTAAACTTTCAATGGAATCCCTTCCAACTGAGCTCTGAGCAAGCTGAAGCTTGCTCTTCTAAAATCTAAAACCTTTGTCTTAGTACTAACCCTCAGCATGCTTAGCAGAATCCCAGACTCCACAATATGGTGATCACTGTCCCCAAGGCTGTCACTAACCAAGATGTTACAATGCAGGTTTTCTTTCTTTGTGAGCAGCAAGTCCAGCAGTGCCTCATGCCTGGATAGCACATCTAACATTTGTATGAGGAAGCCATCCTCTACACATTCCAGGAACTTCATGGATGACATGCAAGTGGCTATATTGTTCTTCCAATAAATGTCTGAATAGATGAAGTCACCCATAAGAAGCAGGTTCTGTTGACCCAAAACTTGCTTAAGTGGCCCAAGTATTCCTTCATTGGCCTTATCATCCTGGTAGATGATGAGGTTGGTAGCAGATGCCAGCTGTTAGAATTCCCCTTAGAGATGATCCCTCTCATCTTGACCCAGAGTGATTAGATAAAGCTTCCACAATCACCATAGCTGACTATACATTCAAGGGTCTCCTTAATAAAGAGCACAACTCCTCTTCTTCCCTGCCTGTCTTTACAAAACAGCCTGTAGCCATCCGTTGCAATCCTCAGTCATGTGAGTTGTCCCACCATGTTTCAGTTATTCCCATGATATCCTGACTTTCTGTCTGGGTGCAGAGCTCCAGTTTTTCCTGTTTGCTCGCCAGGCTGCATGCACTGGCAGACAGACACTTGAGGTGGTTGATCTTCTGGTTCTTACCTTGGGAGGCATCTAAGGAACATATGTCACTTCTCTGGTTGGCCTGACTTCTTCCCCAGTTGGTTGCACTGCTGTGAGCGTTGCCACGTTGGACTTCATCCCAATTCAGGCTATTCATCAAAGAATGTCCCTTTGTCATAAAAGCCAAAACCCTCATGACAGCACCAGCCATGAAGCCCAAAGTTGATTTGCATCATATGTCTATTTCTGGCTGAATCCCTTTCCCCTAACTGGTAAAATGACCCACCATCTATTCAGGGAAGTTGCACTATCCTTTATTAATTCATCTCTAGTAATACTCAGTTATTTCTTACGGTGTGCCTTGATTTTAGAAGTGTGATATGACTTAGAGTGTTTTTCTTTAAAGAAAAATGCAGAGTCACATAGCAAAGCCCTTAAGGAAAGTAAGGTATAGGTATATTGCCTGAACATAAAAAGTTAGTGATAAAGCAAGATGTTTGTCATTATAGAGAATGTGGTCACAAAAGTAGATAAGCTCTGTAGAAAACACCCACCATTATTAGATAGAAAAAACTTTCTTAAGACTGCCCATCTACTTATTACTTTCTTCTCAATATGTATTAAAAAACTATGTAGCTGCTTCATGGGTGACACTGTAGTTTATGTCAAGAACTTCTCTCTTAAAAGTCCTGACATTCTGTTGTTCATATAATGTTTAATTTTCTATTGCATCTTGGTTTTTTATACCAGGTGACTGGTTGAGGTGTCAAAACCCTGAGTTTAATTAAACAAAAAGCAGTGTGAATTGGAGAAAAAATGTATAGAAACTGTATTTTACAATGCATGATTAGCATATAACTTAGCTTCCTTCTTTGGTGTCAGAATTCCAACACCTTCTAGTGTTTTCTTTGGGTAACTCCTTAACCAGTCCTGAGAGCACTGATGGTCATGACACAGCCCTTCTTTTTGACAGGAAAATCACCCTCCTGTCTCCTGTTGTGAAGAGGCTGGGTGAGATCTCATTGTTGGCTGATGCATCTTAGAAGTGGGAATGTGGGAACAGATGACGTATTGTCTTTATTATTTGCATGGAAAAGGGACCAAAGAAGTAGAAAACGAGGCTTTTAGGCTTTCTTCCAACACCATGTAGTAAGGCCAAAAAATGTGCTATTTCTTTTGAGTTTATCATGCTCCACCATTTCAAGAAAACACTTGTAAGGTACTGTACTCAAGGAATAATGGATGCAGCTACACTAGTCTTTTAGTTCCCACTTACCATGCTTTAGTTCGTATCACCAGTTTTGGAGTGTCCCAATTGAATTTCTTCGGGTTGAAATGAAACCAGAATATGTTCTGCAGATCCCCACCTAACACAGTCCAGTTGCCACCACTGACATGCAGTCTTTGGGATCAAATTAGATCCAGTCAGAAGTAAAACCTGTTGAGATGTGTACAACATAGATGCGAGGTTCTTAGCACCACATGTTTCGACTTACTGACCCATTCCAGTTGGTTTGAAGTACTTATTGCTGTGGACATACCCAGTCTAACCTAGAGAACCTCCAAGAGGAGAACTACCATCATCTCCCAGCAGCTGAAGATGACAGTGTGCAGAATTCAAGTATTGCTGAACTTGCAGAGGTAATCTTAACAAAAGAGCTTTTCAACCTTCCAAACATCACTAATCTGAGAACAATTTACACCACCATTATTGATGGGTCGAGAATGACAATACTTATTGCTACTGTTGTTAAAAAAGAATACATTGTAAGAACAACAATATCCACAACTGCTACTTCTCAATGAATCAGTGATGAAACAAGCAAGGATCTGAGTGACTAAAAGTAGCTCTAGTATCAATACTTAAGGTCAACCCATTCTTTCTTATCAGTTCTGATATTGAAATAGTATGAAAAATGTTATTTTAATATAGTCATTTGGGATTCTGTATTCACAATACAAAATCTAAGTGCTGTTTTTAGTTTTTATGATGTTCTAGCCAGATACTTGGACTGGGGAACTAAAACTAAGTGTTTGCCAAGTGTTACCATACGATTACTACAGGTACCTTCTGTTTAAGTGTAAGAGAAACCATGGCAATTTCAGCACTCTCTGGAAGCTAATAAGTAGAAAAGATTATTTAAGTTGGAATAAACTAGAACTGCAAAATGTAGCAGACAGTGGTGATAGTACAATGGTACTGACATTTAAAAAATTATCTTGTATGGAGTTTTTAAATAGTCCAGAAGAATACCAGAATACAGAAGAATAGTCCAGAAGAAGCTATGATTTACTGACAAAGCAGTGTTTCACATTCTTCAATAATAGAAATGGCAGTGCCTTTTCTAAAAGCAAGATACTGAAATTATGTTGCTGACGGATTTCTTTAGGTGCACACATTTGCCCTTTTTACTTTCTGTCCAAAAATGCTATGTGTTAATATATTAATGTCTTACCTGCCAAGAGTGTTCCTAGCTTTCAGTTGTTCAAAAGGTTTTAGAGCCAGCTTTATTCACTGAATCGCGGGATGGTGGAGCTGGGAAGACACCTCTGGAGATCCCCATGTCCAGTCACCCTGGTTGCATCAGGGACACCTGCAGCAGGTTGCTCAGGGCTGTGTTTGGTTGGGTTTTGACTGTCTCCAATGATGGATACTCCACTGCTTCCCTGAGCAACTTGTTCCAGTGCTTAGAAACGTTTTCTTATTTTTAAATGGGATGTCCTGTATTTCAGTGTGCCTGTTTCCTTGTAGGTCTATTTTTTTTATCCATTTCATCCTGTATTTCAGTTTGTGTCCAGTCTTTTTTTTTTCCACAGCTATTCTTAAGTATAGTTAAAGTATATGTTAATTGTCATAATGTAGTAATGATGGACTTCACTTACTGGAAAAGAAAAAGGTAGGTAAGTTAATCGTTGATGAAAGGACAAAGGTTTTGATTTATGACATTTACTGTCTTAAATACCAAGTTGGTCTGAAATCCTGTCCATGCAACTGCTGACTGGATATTAGCATGGGCTGGTTTTCTGTTCCTGCGCTCTTAACTTGGCTGCTTCTTCAGGTGGTCTGGAGTCAGGTAAGAAAACAAAGGATGCATATTCTTTATATGATGGAGTAAGCAATGCAGCTTATGATGAGTTTGAGAGGAAAAGACTGAAGTACGTTGCTTTTGCAAAACAAGAATTCTGTTGTCATCTGGATGGAAGACAGAGAAAGATTTCTGTTTCCTGAGAGTCTTAGTACTGCTATTTTTAATAGGCCTAGCTATACATTAGAAGAGCTTATCTTGCGTTCCCCATCTAAGCAAAATGTCCAGTAGTGTTCGAAATAATGATACCAGACTAGAAATTCTGGGGTTAGAACTGAGATAAGTATTAACATTTATATCTGTATTTGAACAGATTTTTAATATTTTTTTTTTTCTGCAACATAATATATCAATACTGAAATTAAAGCTTTTTCAGCCACTGCATGTACTTGTAAATGGCAATTCTCTGTTCCTCTAATCTGCCTGAACTATTTAACGCCAAAAAAAAGTAACAACTGAGATTTTGTGTTTCTTGTCTTTTGCAGTGAAATACAGCATTTTGCTCTTCTTGTGCTAATTTATTGTAGAGGCCAGGAGTTTTGGTGATACACAATACAATTAGTTTGGGGAACAAAACCAGTAGGTTGCTGAAAGCTCATTTCAGCTGTTCTTAATTTCAGAGTAATCTATAGAGTAAGGCATTACTTATTGTAACATAAGTGGAATAACATTATCTATTTTATGTGATGCAACTTAACTCTCTAATTCTATGAATCCAGCTCCAATATCTCACTGTGGTAGTCATATCCTCTTCCTCTCCACTAACACGTGCTCATACATCTTCTTAAGTCAAGCTCAACCTTGTCCCCAGCTGTCTGATAGTCCTCTTGTATCCCCCACTGCCCCAGCCTCAGACTTCCCTTGTATTTCCACTGCCCACCTCTCTATTCCCAGCCTTTTGGAAACTCAAGTCTCAGCCTTGTTTACAGGCTTTGGTAAAGCTTGTAGTAGGTGTTGTAGACTGCTACAAACATCCACAACCTATCGCACATCAAACTGACTTGTGATAACCAGCACCTGTGTGAGACAGGGGCTTCTGATCACCAGGACTATTTCATTTCCATGTGCCTGTGGCCTTGAAGAGTTTCTTTTGTATTTTTGGATGCCAGTACTAAAAGTTGTATAGTCTGGAGAAAACACTGGTAAGTTACAGTGTCTCATCTAAAATTGGTGGCTGCTTTGGTACTACACTGGTAATATGACTGGTAATATGACCTTCCTCTGTATGTGACATGAACTGTGAGACTGGTAATATGACCTTCCTCTGTATGTGACTATGATATGCTGTTGATTTAAAAAAAAATAAATTATTTCAGACTTGAAATGCATCATGTAGGTCTCAGCTGTCAAGCTGGTATTGGGACTGAAGCTATTGCTACTCAGATGAGTAATACTTCTACACAGAGATACACCTTTTGAAATTAAGTATTTTGCTGTTGAGATTCACAGAACTAAAGACCTTTTTTATTGAGAAGGAAGTGGAAACGAGTCATGACAGGGATTCCTTCAGCATAAAACATTCAGCAAGTTTTCAGACACTGAGGACCATCCTGGATTTAAGGCAACTGCTGAATTTGGTATTCTTCAGCCATGGACACATACTTTGGTTTATGCAGCAAAAGTACTTTTGGGACTTAGCTACATTGATTTCAGTTTGTGAGCTTTTGCTGCTGATAAATGAGCTTTTCCATGACCTAGCCAGTTTTTATCTTTAGTGCAGTTATGCTTTCTGATTAGCTGATATGGGTAGATTGTAGTTTATAGTTACTGAAACTGTAGAAACATTTTACTCTCTATTAATGGTTATAAGAGGATTCAACATATATAAGTACAATTCTTCTCTTCCATCAACAATCTTTAACAAAAACAATAATAATTTTATTTTAATTTTTGAATATTGCAAGCTTTACTTGTCATTTTTTTTCTTCCACATTAGCTGGAACTCTGTGTGAGAGTTGGAATTTGAAAGCAAATGAAGTCTTCAACATGTGTGTCACATACTCTTCCCATGTACTTTCAGCTTGTTTTACAAGCTGTACTTTTCATTTCAAAACTTGAATATATGGACTGGATACCATCTTATGCATATCTTGTGATAAAGAAATGTAATGAGAGGATACATGTGCAATAAAACCTCAGTGTGTAAGAGGATTCTATTGACATTGCAGATTCATGGATGATTTGTCTGGAAAAGATATTTTGGGTTATTAAACTGTATCTACATACTGTTATTAGTTTATTCTTTTTTATGAAACCCCAATCCTATTTTATCATGTATCAATGTAAACCTGAATAATACTAGTTAACTCAGTGAAATGTGAGATCAAAATCAATCCTTCAGCATTTGCATCTGCAAAACTCTGGAAACAGTTTTTAAATGGACTCAGTCACTTTTCTACAGGCAGTGGTTTTTTATGAGTCAGGTATCTTGAAATCTACAAAATTTTGAAGCTATCTAAAACCATGATGTACCAAACCAGTGCTGTTTCAGGAGAAATTGGGTCAGGAAACAGATTCTACACAATTATTTTTGTAACCAACACTTGAAGATCAAAATCCTGCCTTTAGACTGGGCAAGAATGTGTGTGTGTGGTAGTTTTCATTAAGAAAATGAAGAGACAGAAGAAGAAGTTGATGAAATGCTTTGCCTGTTTATATAACATTTAGGCAGTAAGCACTTGATTATGCCAGCTCATACCAATCGGCATTATCTCTCTTAAACCTATAAATTATCACCTCTAATTGATTAGGCAAAAAATGTTTTTCCCCTATTAGGCACTCAGAACAAATACAAAAATCTGACAAAAACTGTGAAACAACAATTTGAATTAATTTTAGTTCAGGTGAAAAAAAAAAAAAAGAAAAATGAGAGATTTCAGGCTTTTATATTTACAATATTTTTTTCTGCCATTTGCTCAAGTTTTCACAAGACAGTAATTTCAGATTGAAAATTAATCTTTCATTAAAAAGCTATAATGAGACGTTCTGGCAATTTCAAAGCTTTCTATTTGAGCCTTTTCCAAATGAAGAAATTTCATTGAAGTTGGTCTTTTTCCTGCATTTGATTAAAGCTTTTGTATGAACCCCATCAGTTTTAGGGCACACAGTAATGTTTGCCCTCAAAATTATTCCCCATCTTCATGTGCCAAAAGTGAAGTCTAGAAGAATATGTGCATTTGAATTCCTCTTGAATATTCTAGCCACCATTTTTTTCTTATTCATGATACAGATTATAAAAAGTACCAAAACTAATATTTTTGTGGACTGCATGGATTTGGTTTTTGCCATTTTTCAACCTTCTGATCTTGTACTCTTCACTAATTCTGATGGAGTTTGCAGATGCCTATCACCCTGAAAAAAATAAAAAGAAAAAAGAAGTCCTACATGCAAAACTGCATGTATGAAAGATAGTGAATTATTTATATGGAGAAAGAAAATCAGCCGGGGGGGGAGAGTAGCAGGAACTATTGTAAAAAGAAAAATAAAATACCCACTCTGCTTTGCAGAATTATATCTGTAACCTATATTGACAGAGCTTAGAATTTAGTGCTGTTTTTTACCTTCAGTTTGTGAACTCCTTTTCAAACACCTCAACACAAGATTTCTGGTGAGAAACAAGAAAACCCACCCAGCAACAATTGCTTACAAATGCTGTTCATTATTTTACTCACTGCTTGAGAAATAGCTGCATAGTGTTATGTCAAGTACGTTCAAACCTGTCCAAAATAAAGCATCTAGTCCAGTGTAAGAGTACAGCTTATACTCCGTGGGCATGTTGTGGCAAGGAAAAAGGTGCAATGTATGTCTCATTCTGGTCTTGTTTTAATATGGAATCTGGATTTTGGCATCTTGCAGAAGCAGCCTTTGAGTTGGTGTTGCTGAGGTAAAGAGAGCCCAGCCAAGGCACTGAACGGGGGCTGAGGTGACCTGGACTTCCTACCCAGTCCTTGCTGTGTGCCTAAGTAGCAATACTTGATTTAACAGAAATAATAGGCGCTTTTCTCCTGTTTGTGAAACACCATTGGGCACTGCCTGAATGGTAAGAGAAAAATGGTTGTGAAAACTTCACAGAAGCAGCACTGGGTGACTTGTTGGGCAGCCTAAATTGGGGAGGACACAAATCCAGCACATATGACAATCCAGCAAATAAACATTTCCAGTCAAATGGGAAAGCAGTGGATTCAGCCAATCCAATCCAAAGCCGTGCTCTAAGTGCTGCCAGTTGAGCTTAAATCGCATCTCTAATACAGTTGAGAGAGTAATGTGAGCTGCATTTCATTATGTGCCTTTCTAATAATATCTTTTTTTCTTCCCCCTCCCCAGCCTGCTCTGGAGACAACTGGTAAGTTCTGTTTAGAAATCTATTTGTATTCACGGGAGGCAGTCAACAAAAACAGCTGCTCATAAACATTGCTAGGACAGACCCAGACTTATAATTACTGTTATTGTTATTGCATTAATTTTCACACTTCATAAAGATAACAGCAAGGGCTAATGTCCTACCTCACTTGTCTTTTTATTTTCCAGAAATAGATTTGGATGGAGAAATTGATCAAGACATCTTTGACATCAATGAAGGTTCTTGAAAATTTAGTTTCTCTTAATATTTTTTGTTATTTTCATTACTGTAGCCACAGATCAATACAGTAACTGAATGTTAATCTCCTCTTCCCTTTAGCTTTAGGACTAAACCTTTTTGAGGGAGACATCAAACTTGATGGGGTGAGTTCAAAGATAAAATATAAAACCAGAAATGTGCATTGGGTTATGCAATGTAAATTATCACTGGCATGGAAATGATTGACGCATCCTGCTCCTGCAAACAATACATGCTCTTTATGTAACAATAAACTGAGAATGTCTGGAGATATTTTCCTACCAAATGTCAGAAACAATGACAGAACTGGCTGCATCTGCAGAAACAATGTCCTGTATAAGGTTGGTTTAGATCAATCTAATTAGCTTTTTGTTTGCTATACTGTGGTTTTGTATTTGCACTCTTAAGAGATTCTGCAGCACTGATGACATCCAGACAAGTTTATACAAAAGATTCTTAATTTATCAGCACAACATTTATTATGAGCCAATTAAATTTACAGACCAGTACTGTAAAACCTTCATCGTGTAAGTAGTCACTAAAACCAGTGGGTAAATTTAATCTGTAATACCACAATTTAAAGCATCTGTCCAATATCCCTATCTGATAAATTAAAAAACCCCCATGTATACAGCAAGTTACACATCCTAGTAGAAACCCCAGAGAAAACCCTGAAAGTACCCCTGAAAGTCACTGGTGTTTTACTCCTCCTTTTGGTGAACTGTTTTGGCTTGAGTATATCAGTAGAAGCCAAGAAAGCACTTGCTAAGGACACAGAAACAAACCCCTACATGATGAAAAATTACATAATTATTAATCTCTGTGCAGTTTTCAGGGCTTTAGGTCTTAATGCATCCCACAGCAGCTAAAACTCTTCTCACACAAACATAAAAATCTCAGGTAATTTTTATGGAGAAAGTGTTGCAGAAGTTGGAGTCACTAGTAGAAAGGAGCAAAGGGCCTTCAAACCCAAGCCTTAAACCTCTGAGTGATCTTCCAAAGTTTTTGAGCTCTTTGATTTCTGACTCATAGGAGACATGCTTTTCTTTAGCACTATTGTAGTTCCTGATCCTACATCAGTTTTTACTGAGGACTGCATAATTATTTTCTTTCTCAGGAACGAAACTCCATCATTGGTGACAAGTATCGGTGGCCTCACATTATCCCCTATGTCCTTGATGATAGCTTGGGTACAGTATTTGGTGTTGACAATGTCTGCATGTTCTGTTGATTGAAATAAAGACACTGTGGCATCCTTTCCTCTTACAAGTCTTGAGCAGGCCATTTTCCACAGCAGGGCTGCCTCTGGATGTGCACAAACAGGGTATATAATCTTGGTGTTGGCTCTCACCTCCTTTATTGAGTGGTTCTTATCCTGCCATGGCCATAGTCCAGCAGATTGATTTGACTTTCAAAGCATATGACATGAAATAGTACTAAGCAGAAGGAAAAACAGGGCACCGAAGACCTTTTCAAAGCAAGAAAGCTTACCTGGCCACCTACATCATCTACAGCACTGATGGCAAACTGGCATTCTGGCACCAATGCAGACTGCAGTGGCACATTGCTGTCTTCCCTGCTGTGGGGCCAGGGAACAGGTCATGGTGTGTCTTCTTCCCTTCAAATTCACCTGGTTGTGGCTCTGCATGGCAGAGGCAAGCAATGAGACTGGGAGCTTGAGTTCCTACTGTGTGCCGTGTGGGAAGATTATGCCCTTACTACACAATGTGGGAGGAAAAAAAGATCACCCACCCCTAGTTAATATTCAGATCTCAACCTCTGAAGGGGTTGAAACCATGCAAGTCACTTAGAGTAGGCAACCCAGACATAACATGAGCAGTTCAACTCTTGCAGAAGTTATATGAGAGATCTGTAGCTTACAGTTTGCACTAGATGAAATCTGATGGTTTTGTTCCCTGTTTATTTAATACTTGCTCACTTAGATCTCAGCAAAGTAAATTAAAGAATTTACAGAAATAAAGACCATTCACTATCATGTCTTAAATACTCATCATGCCCTATTTTATATATACGTATTGAATAAAAATTACATGGAAAAAACCAAGAGGAAGTTAGTATGTCACAATAGCCAAATCTGTTTTTTAGGTCCCTACTCAGGTTTGAATTCAGCAAAAAGCTAGCTTATTTTAATCAAATATTGTTGAAGCAATACTTAGGACTTGCTCCATGTGGGTAATGGTACAAACCTATTGGCTCAATATTGACAAGAACACTATTTGCTTTGCAGAAATGAATGCTAAGGGTCTCATCCTCAAGGCATTTGAACAGTATCGACTAAAAACCTGTATTGACTTCAAACCTTGGGAAGGGGAGAAGAATTACATATCTGTCTTCAAAGGAAGTGGGTAAGAAGAGTAATATAAAATAACTCTCATCCTGTTTGACTATTTTTGTGTTCAAATTCACTCTAAAACTGATATATCCAATGCTAATGTTGTATTTTTGTTGTGTCTATTTTTCTAGTTTGTTTTTTTTTTTTTAATTGGAAGTTGTAGTAGTTTCCAAAGCAGGTATTACTTAGGTAGTAGTGAACAATTTAATAACAATACTTATTTTTAGATATAAGAGGCAATCATGTCCTTTAAGAAGTAATTTTCTGGGTCTGGAAACAAGCCATTTGTTTTCTTGATTGATTTTTGGATACATGAAGTGTCACTTTCAAATGATCATTCTTAGTATACCTTAATTTTTAGAAAGACAAAAAATATCCCAGTAGAAATACGGTAATTCTGACTATGGGACAATGAATTTGTTTGACTGTAAAAAATGGAATTGCATTTAAATGGTGTCACACCAGCATTCAGATACAGCAGCGATATTTTTAAATGCTGCACAGCACTGAGATATTTTACAGAGGTTTCAGTTTATTTACCTCTTTTGATTGGTAATTATGCTATTCAACTACATGTTTTACAAAATAAGGCTCCAGCAAAGAAGTCAAAATTACCCCAGCTGCTTCCCTTCCTAAGACAGTTCTCTGTCAAAACAACACAACAAGAACAAATCTATTCTGCACTCTATACTAAACTATTTCGCTGTTGGAAAAGATCAGGGAAAGCCTGATAGCCTGGTGAGGAAATTTACTTTCAGAAAATCATTTCCTGATATGAGAGTGCATTCATAAATGGTAAAAGATTTTCTGATAATAGAAACGTCTCCCTTTACCTTTGGCTTGTTCTAAGATATTTGTAGCAGATAATTGTTTCAAAATTTCTTCAGTCTCTGGCTCTTTGTATTTTCTGCCCTTCATGCTGTGCACATGACATTGAAACTCAACACGAAAAGATATAAAAGTGGAGACTTAGGGAGCAATGCATTTTCCTGTGCTAATGACTCTTTAGTTTTTTGAGCCAAATGGAAAACTCATGTAGCTTAATTTTTTTAGTCCATTGTCACATAAAGTATGCATTGAAGTTGCCAATAATTGTACCTGAAAAAGAACCACAGTATTTAGCCTATGGCAAATAAGAGGCCTCTGCACAATGTTTCATTTCTAAGTCTATTGAAGATAGATGAATCAAGGTGATGAAGAAAACAAGGCACTCTAGTGGGACAGCATATCTTGCCCTCAATGCTGCATGTGTTGCTTGCCCTGAAATGTTTCTATCATCTCAGCTGACACATCCGTAAAACAGTTAAAACACACCAGCACTTTTTAAAAGATAGAAGGTAAAAAATGCAGTCTACAGAAATGGCTCTCCAGTTTCAGTGAGCTAACTTGGGGCTGTATAAAGGAATTATCAGGCATCAGCTACCTTTCATTTCACTCCGTTTCTCTCTTCTGATACAACAGTACAAGGTGAAAGGTGAACAAACAAACCCATTTCCACTTTACCATTGCTGACTACTTATTTTTGTTGGTGGTGGTGGTGGGATTTTTTTTAATCAGGGAGGACTCCTCTAACTGGAGACTAAAGAACTCAGTCCAGAGGGTACAGTGCACACAGCAGCACAAAGTCACTCCAGCCTGTGTGCTAAGCAAAATAACTGAGAGATGCCTGTGAATTATGGAAATGCAGGAACATCAGATGTGGCTGGTGCCTGCAAAGCTCACAGAACAGTCTGGGATGACATCCTGCAGTAGATTTTTCCCTACTTTTCTCATGAAGAGCAGGACTCATTCTTCAGGAAAACACATATTGTGCAGTAGTCAAACAGTAGACCAGCGAGAATCAAGCCCATCTCTAGTATTTCCATATGGGACATCAGGTTTTCATGGAGATCTCCTAGGATTTCACCCCAGTTCTTTGTCACTGTGGCACATGGCAAAGGGAACCCATAGAGAAGTGGATTGTTGCAGATCACTGGCTAACCAGCATGATGCTGGTAAGTCAGAGTCTGTGTGTTGATACTGGCCTGATGATCAGAGAAGCTGTGGATGCTCCCTCTGTGGAAGTATTCAAGGCCAGGCTGGATGGGGCTTTGAGCAACCTAATGGTTGCTCAACCAGTGGGAGGTGTCCTTGCCCATGCAGAGGAGCTGGAACTGGGTGATCTTTAAGGTCACTTGAAACCCAAACCATTCTATGATTCTATAGTATGGGAAGTTATGTAGGAGTAGGACATTATTATGAAAACGTGCCTGAAATACACATTGTCTCTCAGAGGACAGGATTTCTAGGTGGCATCATCACTAGTGATGGTGTGTATCTACTTACAGCCCATCTTCCAAAAAGGCTGGTGGGAATAGACAGAGCAGGTGCTTCTCTCTTCCTGGAGCATTTGATTGAGCAACTAGCAACGAAGAAAGCATTGAATTGAGGGACTTATGGCTCTCACACACTTGGGGAAGCTGGGACTTTCCTCCCATTTTCTCCTCTCCTTAAGACATGGCTAACATGGTGCTAACAACGGTGCCCATTGACCTAGAGTGCCCTGTTCCCCCAACTAAGTCTTATTTGCAGAGCTTGGTGACACAGACCATGCATTTACTCCCTCTGCAACTGCTTAATTATGAGGTTGTAGGCATTTGGCAGACTCAAGGCAAGAGAAAGCTGCATCCCCCAGTGTATGGGTGCTAATTTTGCCAAGTGTCCTGGATGTGCTCTGCACAGCAGCTGTGAAGCCAGAGGCAGCTGCTTTGGTATGAGGTGGACCCAGAGCTGTGATGGACTTCCTGGACTTCTGCACCATCAAAAAAAACTGCATAATTGCTATGAGGCCTTGCTCAAGGGAAGCCTGTGAAATCATGGATGCCACATGTGCTCCTTCCCAGGTCTCCTGCTGTGATTTTAATGAGTAATCAATAGCCAGGGTCTGTGCTGCTTTGTGGAAGGAGAGATACTGGGGAATATGTTGCCCTAGTAAGTTACAGGGTTTGACAGTGCATAAAGTGCTGGCATTTCTAAATTTCTGAGGTGGTAGGACTGCAAACCCTATGGCATATTTTGCACCCGATTAGTTTGATGGACTTCTTTGGGTAAGTGTTGAATTATTTGCTGCATAAAATATCAATTTAAATGTAACTCTCAGTGCTTACTAGTTTTTGGACATGGGATGCCATTTTATTGGCTTGTGCAGAGAGCTCACTGATTTTTTTAATTCTTTAATAAAAACTTCCAGCACAGCTGCAGTTTTGCTTTTCCTCATCAGTGTCAGCAGCGAATGCTCTAGCACAGCAGCACAAATAACTAGAAAGAAAAGAGTTTGTTTAAAGCACCGTCAAATCCGCCAACCTTTCAGAAGGTGACACGGGTTTGCCTTACAACAGGGACAGGCTCAAAGTGCAGTCACAGTCACGTATTATGCTCCAGATAAAAAATTGTTAATTTACAGTAATTTAATTGCTCTAAATCACGTGTTCATAGTCTCCACATTTAACAGACTACCAATGAAATCCTAACCAGTTTTCTTCTGTCAAGAATAGACCAACATTTTTCTGCTAAAGAAACCCCATTAAAAACAATAGAGCTGGAGCAGGGGAGCTGCTGGTTCATCAAAACTGAGCTAAATGTGAGAGGAAAGGGTTTGGATGGTACAGATCGGTGAAGATCTCTGTACCAAAATGTAACTTCAACACTCAAAAATATACCCGTTGAACAGACAGATTCTGGATTTCTTGTGGCATGGTGATGGTGTCTCACAGGCTATCTCTCATTTTATTTGGATGCTAGCTGCTGGTCCTCAGTGGGAAACCAACAAATGGGCTTGCAGGAGCTCTCCATTGGTGCCAACTGTGACAAGATTGGGACGATTCAGCATGAGTTCCTGCACGCCCTGGGATTCTGGCATGAGCAGTCACGGTCCGACCGGGATGACTACGTGTCCATCATGTGGGACAGGATTCAGTCTGGTCAGTCAATACCTGGCTTTTCCTTTCACACTGTGGTGTGAGGACTCTTAGCTGTGGAACATCCCTTCCAGCCATCCTTTGGTGGTCACACTATTCACACACTGGTACTTTGTTTTCAAAGCCAGCATATCATAGAATCATAGAATCTTAGGGGCTGGAAGGGACCTCGAGAGATCATCTAGTCCAACCCCCCTGCCAGAGCAGGGTCACCTAGAGTACATCACACAGGAACTCATCCAGGTGGGTTTTGAAAAATTAATTAAATATCAAGTCACATCTATTTGGCTTAGAAAACCTAATTTGTTGTTGCTGTGGTTATTCCTTGTGCCACAGCAGCTCCCAAAGACCTCACTAGAGATATGAGTTCTGTTACGCTACATGTTGTATAGCAGAGCAACAGAAGAGAGTAATTTAGCTTGTTTAAATGAATAATATAAAAGCACTGTTATTCTGGGAGCTTTTAACAAAACAAAGTAATTAAAAAAAAAAAAATCCCATTCTGAAAAACCCAGTGCAACCAAAGTCAATAGAAAAACTCCAGTGAAAATACTGGTTGTCCTCTTTCTCCCCAGGTGCTACAGCTGGTGGGGGCAGCAGCACTGAGACAGCAGAGAGTGCAGGCAGGGTGTGCAGACAAGGGTCACTCTTTTCAGAGTCCACATCATGTGAGTGGCTACTTTAGCAATGCAGCTTGTGAATGTAAGTGTTGGCATATTTGGCACAAGCCTGAGTTATGGCACAGGGTTCCTCAGGACTCTGCTTGATCTCTGCCCCTTCAGCTTGCTGTCGTCCTCTGTGAATTTCAGACAACCGAAAAACAAAGTTGTATACACAGGCTTGGTGCTTTCCTAACACAGGTACACATAGAACACTGAAAAAACAGATAATGATACAATCTAATGCATTCTTACTTAGTCGTGCTCAATAGTCAGGTGCATATACACGTATATGTTGCAGAAAATGGCTTAGACACTGTTATTTGATTTCCATTATGGTTTGCTGACTCTTTAGTGACAAGTTGCACTATTGTTAGCAATTTAAAACTGCTGCAGCTTTTTTACACTGACCATAACATAGTCACATGTATAGGTCAATTCTGGAAGCTTATCTAATGCAAACTCTAACTTGCTTATTGCAAGCTAAAGTGACCAGCAATTAAACAGGACATCATACAGATTAGGAACAGGGAGGCATTACAGTTGCAAATTGCATTAATTTGAGTACTGAAAGAGTATGTCCACTTTTGGGTATCAGAAGCCCATCAAAGCTTACGGGTTTCACAAGGAAAAGATTTCTGGTAGCAAAAAGCTTTCCTTCATCTAGCAAAAGTCATCATGTCATGTTCCAGCAGCTAAAAGAGGAAAGTAAATAACCCTAGACTAGAAATAAAATAGTTATACGAAGTAAATACATGTAAGCAGGAACAAAACAAATACCTTAATTCCATCTATCAAAACTTGGTCCTCTTGGGCAATCCTTCCTTTTGTTTTTCCCATTTAGGTAAAGAACATAATTTTAACAAATATGATGACAAAACATCTGACTTCCTGAATGTCCCCTATGACTATGCTTCTGTGATGCACTACAGCAAAACTGCATTCAAGAATGGAACTGAACCCACCATTGTCACTAACATACCAGACTTCATGGATGTAATAGGACAGCGAATGGATTTCAGTGATTATGATCTCCAGAAACTAAACCGGCTGTACAATTGCTGTAAGTTCATTTCTTTTACCTTTTTTTTTTTACTTCAAGTGTTTGAAAGAAACAAGGGTGATACTTACATGCTGGACTCATCCAGGCATGAGTGAAAGAGATGCTAACATGTTTGGAGAAGCAAATAATGTTAAAAACATCAGAAATAATGGTATAGCTAGAAATAACATAGCCCTCCTGGAGAAACACTGCTGCATAGCAGAGTCTTCTGTGCAATTTTATCTGACCTTTAGTTAAAAACCAGCTTTGTTCAGCTGCTGATTTTTGTTCATCCCTTGGGTGTCTGTTTAAAATGTGTACTTTGGAACAAAGCTTTTTGTTTTTCCTCCTTATTCTGCAGCTGTTGCTCAGAAATAAGTACTTTTGCTGTGGCTGTCATACCTACCCTGCTCTCATGCAATCTGTGAGACAGTGTGTTCAAGCAAATAGGGTAGATGTGCTGTTATGAAGAAAATATGAGCCATTAAAATTTCATTCTTAGTTTAAAACCTAATCTCTTTCAAAAGTGGTCAAAAGAATTATTTTGCCCACAACAGGATTTATTTTGGGAAGCTGACTGAAAATGAAAGACATCAAAATATAGAGTATTCTAAGTCCAAACTGGAATTCATAATTACGACTGCATCAAATGTGCCCTGGCACTCAGCTGAAAGCTTTCATTTCACTCCCTCAGTATCCCAAGTAGTGAATACTGGTTTAACTTGTATTTGGCTATAATCCTGCAGTGCTGTTCTGATCTCTTCTTCAGGACTGTCTTTCAGGCCATATGATAACATTAGATTTTAGTCTGCTTTCCCTTTCTAGCATATTCCTTAAGAGAACAGACCATAAAGATTCCCTCAGCCACTGGAAGTTAGGACTCAGTGTGCATGACACGTATTTTCTTCCAAGTCCAGCACACATACCAGCTACATACCAAGGCAATTTCTGTCTTTTGGTGCAGATGGAGTTAAAAACCTGCTTCAAGCAGTGTGCCCTTCCCTTTTTTTTCAATAATAAATCTAAAAAATACTTTGCAAACCTTTGGGTCTTGCTTTGTCTTTTCCTGTTGTTCAGACCATGACTCCATGCCAGCCAGCACATTCTAATTAAAATAGGATGCTGCTTTCCTGTTTGGGCAGATCAATTTAATATTTTGTTTTGTATTTTGATTTCAAAGAGTTCTTTCATCTAATATTACTCCATTTTTGCTTACCTTCTTGCTGACATCTTAGCTGTTTTGTTTTTTTTCTTCAGTAGTCAATGAAACATTTACTGTGACAATATTTTCTTGGGTTATACAACATCATACCAATACTGTATCTTAAAAGATACCAGTCATACAACACTTCTGATAGCCTTGCAGCCTCTAGAGGGTTGTTAAACTTCCTCCAAGGACAGTACAAAACATCTCAGGAGTACTGATTTGGCAGCAGTTCATACTTTAGTGCTTCCCTGAGCCACAGTCTAAGTGAGGCGTTTGGCATGCCATTGAGGTTGATTTTCCTGACACTCTTAAGTCCCTTTTGTGGTGCAATGAAATCTTCAAACCTGTCATAGTATTTTATACATAGTTTGAAAAGAAATAATTATGAAGCATTTTATTAACCTAGTTGCTTTCAAATCATGGCTGGCATTACACAGAGCATGGTACAATGAGAAACAAATCTAAGAATGAGGACGAACCAGGACTGTGTCCTCACCTATCCAGCATTTGCTTTAGGCAGAGGAAATACTTCATACAGTGTTTTCACTTTCCTATTCAATTGCACAGTTTTCTTTCACTTAATTTTTCACTTGTTATATGCAAAACATCTTAAAAATTTGGATGAGATGAGTGATTCACTGGTCCCTTTGCCAAATGTTTTTTTTTCAGCTCAGCATTTTGAAAATTAAGGTTTGCCTATTGCAGCAAAATAACTTCTGCTTGGTTATATTTCAGTATAATAAGCACTCCAGTTGATGAATTAGTGAACTTTTATAAAAATCTGCAGCTATGTGTGGAGTAGCTAAAGAAAACAGAGGAATGAATGGAAAGTCTCAGACTTTTGGCTTTGTGAAGGTTGGTGGGTTGGGGCTGATATTAGTGTACCTTTTATAAATAAAAGATGTGATACGATAATTAGCTGCACCCTCCTGTTCTTGCCACCCAGAGTGGTCCTGATGACATCTTGTAATGTCAATGTTAGTGATCAAATGTTTTGAGTTCTTAAACGTTGTACCTATGAATGCTGATGGTATTTGAAGCCACTGGGTATTTTGTGTTTGCATTTCTTAGTCTTTCTCTACTCTTGGCTTTGGACTTGAAAAATGAAAAGGTATGCTGTGCAAACAGAGATTCACAACTTTTTTTTTTTATTCTGTTTCACTGTTATAGCCTCCTCCTTAACTTTCATGGACACGTGCAGTTTTGAACTTGAAAATGTATGTGGCATGATTCAAGGTTCAGATGATAACAGTGATTGGCAGCGTTTGTCACAGGTTCCTGCTGGGCCAAATACCGATCACACTAATATGGGAGATTGTGAAGGTAGGAGAAAAGACTGTTCTTATCTCTCTGAGAAGTGTTTTACACAGAGGTGTGTGAGTTGACTTTGATCTTGGCCTCATTCTCTGTTTACTTGTTGACAAATTACAGCTTATTTTTTAACTAAGTGATATAAATCTACATACCTAGGAACATCATGTGATAAGTTGATTTTCTACTTATTTGAGAAGATCAAAATGTTCTCATCTCTTTTGAACTGTTTTCTAGTTTTGGTGTTGTATCCTGCCATGAGAACTGTAGAAATGTTCTAACCTATGGTACAGGCACACCAGAAAGACTGCTTCTTTCCTCTATAACTGCTCAGTAAGTCTTTGGAAAGGTTTGGGATTTAGAAATCACATGTATTACCAGGGTTCAGGTGAACAATTATTTAAGAATATAGCCAGTTCTTCTGAACCTGCCAAAGAAGCCTTCACAAATGCAGGAACTTAACAGTCCTCCAGACAGTCAACTGTGAATTCCTGGCACTGGGTAAAGAGAAAAGCCAACACTTTTGAGTACAAATTGCTAGAGAGAGGGAAATGAGGACAAAAGTTGCAAGAACAGATTTGCCTCTGGACAATGTGAACAGGCAACAGCCCTCAGTCTCAGGGTTTGTACGGGTTCTACCTAACCCTGACCTGACCGTGTCTTCTAGTGTTACAGTACAGTAAAAGGAATACCACAACACCAGGAAAATTCTCTTTTCTCTCTCCTGTGCCATTCATGTCTCACTGACTTTTTGACAGATTCTGGCTACTTTATGCATTTCAACACCAGCGCTGGAGTAGAGGGAAGCACAGCTATCCTGGAGAGTCGAATTCTGTATCCCAAAAGAGACTTTCAGTGCTTACAATTCTATTTCTATAACAGTGGTCATGAAAGTGACCGTCTGCGTGTCTGGGTCAGGGAGTATACGTCAGCCCATCCAAATGGTACTTTGAGATTCATTGAAGAAATAAAAGGTATGGAACAAATTGCATTTTTGCTTAATCTAGACTTAATATCCTTTTCCAAGTACTGGGGGGAAATCTTGTAGCAAAGCAACTCATCTCCTAGTATTATTCTTTGGCTTCTTCTCTAACTATGTAATCAATTCTCTGCTGGTGAAATTATACTTGATGAATCCTCAGTCATCCATTTTCCTATAATATAATCAATTACCACAAATTACAAACCCGAGCATTATCAAGATGGTTTTGTCACCAAAATAGCAAAAATTCCACTAGCAGTCATTTTAACTTTTCTAGAATTGCTGGTATCAATAGCAACAGGTGAGGTTGGTCATTAGAGTAAATTACAATGAATAAGGACATAGTAATAAAGAAATGATAAATACAAGTGCACTGGAATACCAAACATACCAGTTTAAACACAATAAATAAAATTTAGCTTACTTTTAAAACCAGGTTTGAAATGACTTAACTGAAATATCTGGGCAGCAGATCATGATTTGAGTTGCAGTTTGAAGATAATCAAGTTCTTGTGGTTTTAGGAGCCTATGGCCTATAGGATGAGCAACTGAGGTCAATTAAAGGACAAGAGCACTGTAAGTGAGAATTGCCAAGGTCACCTTATGATTACATTACTGTCTCAAATATTTAACCATTATTTGGTCTCCATTGCAGCTACAACTAGTTCAATTACCTGGTTACATAAAGGTCTGAGCACATTCTTTTACTAAATAGGTATTGTCACAGTTTGGCTCTGGGTTGGTAGTCAAACCAGTAACAATAATGCTCTCGATCCCCCCCCTCCCCCCAAGGTAGGGA